GTATTATTATTAGCAAATGAATTAAAATAAGTATTATAAATATAAAATATATAAAAATTTCTCTTCAAAACAAACCAAAAACAGAACATTCATTCAGCATTTTTATATGAATCTAAAAGTATTCAGTAACAGTTGAATATTCAAGTAAACTGCCTGGACAATCGTACAACTTCTGTTTATTCCACAGAGAAACAGTCTGATGCTGTAAAAGGGAAGATTAACAGAAGAGCAAAAGCAAACAAGAGAAAAGTGATGTTAGTGAAATGTGTGTGTACATGTGTGTGTTTGTGCTTTAACACTTTTACAATTCCCAGTTGCTGTGGTCTTGTGCATCAAAAACAGAGGAACAGAGCAGGATGTTAAAATGCAACAGTCTGTTCTGAGGGTCCAGTCATTTGTGCAGATTCAATTGAGTGCAGAAAGCGCCGCTGTCTGTGCGGTGAACATGAAGCTGCAACACAAGCGCCGTCGTCAGAACTAAAACAGTTCATCACCGTGTGACAAAACAAGTCACGATGTCAAATCAACACGAGTGAGTGGGACACGTCTCAACGGCCACATGCGGCAAATCCAACGAGCGCAAACGACGAGAAGAAATGTCTCAAACTCCAACAGCCGACATAAACACAAACCCGAGCGACAGAACCGCCCCGGGAGAATCCCACAAGACTCCGACACGACACCAGACGGACAGAAGGCTCCTCAGAGCGAAATAATGACCTGTGTTGCGGGTTAATACAAAAACTTCAAGACCAAAAATGACGAGTCTCACAGCAGCAGCCACAGAGACACGAGACACAATATTCTAAATGTGAGTCAAAGACTCAAATCACTTTTTAGGGCAATTTTGTTACATATTTAAAAATCCATTTTATTTTATTGTTTTGGTTGTTTGTTTCAACAGTGGTTTATTGTACATGGTTTATGGTTTAAGTCCATTTTTTGTTAACAAGTCTTTGCTGTAAAACCAGACACATTAGGCTATTATTATTTTAAGTCTGTTTTATT